AAATATTGTATTTATTGTTCACTTCAATACAAAGATCATAAGCAAAAAAACTCAGATTTACGAATGTATCAAACAATGTGTATGTAAGAGGCACCGCATAATGTATGGCGAGTTTGTGCATTCGCTCTGTCTGTCTCTATGAGACGGATAGAGTGAAGCATAGTTTATATCTGATAAAGAGTCGTGGATTTTAACCTTATTTAATTGCATGTTTACTAATGCCGTCTCGCATGTAATAGCTTACAGTATTAAGATTAAAACTATTTAGCGACCACCGTGAGTTATTAAAAGAAATACACTGAATTTTTTTATATTATGCTGTTCAATTCACTTCTGTGTGTGGCAAGATGCCGGCATGTTGGTAGATAATTTCATTACCTAGCAATTATTGACTTCCAGATCGTGATGTAATACTAATTTTTCACTAGAAGTAGCGGAAAAATATTAGAAGTTACGTATCTAGAGGAACAATCAAGATGGGCTAGATGAATATTGATAAATAAAACAAAATTCTCAAAAACATATATCGATGTGATGCATGTAAACCTTAGTGTATTTTCTTGATAACTGACGATGACCTGTAGATAGCCTTAATCCTACTCTGAGTAAATAGAGTGTTGCAGAACTATTAAATGGTTCAGAACCACATGCAGAACCTTTAAAAGTTCTGGTCAGTAATCCTGAACCATGAAAGGTTTTCTGCCCAACAATCTGATCTATACATGGTTCTGTCCTAAAATGCGAAACCATGAAGGGTTTTGTTCAATGACGATGAACCATAGAAGGTTCTAGTCAGTAACAGTAACCCATTGAAGATTCTCTGTCCAAAAATGTTATCTGCCCAAACTTAATGAACTCAATAACACTGAATCTTGAGAGATTCTGCTAAAAACGCTGAACTTAAAAAAAAAAATTCTCCATTCAAAGATACTAAAACAGAAAAGTTCTGCCAGTTCTATAGAACTCTTTAGCGTTTAGCAGTCAAAATACGAATAGGTATGGTACTTTAACTCTTTCATGGCGATTCGGTTTTCCGAGGAAAATAGCTTCAATGTACGAAATAAAGAAACAAAGTTTCAATGTTTTTCTTTTACATTCTTTTCGTAATATTATCTTTGATTCTGTTGAGTAATGTCATGACCTCTTTCTTTTCCTCTCTCATTACCATCGCTGTTATATGACATCATCACACATAGGTACATACTCTATTTTTCTTTGTTCTTCGTATACGTTCAGGTTATCCAAGTGCATTTTCTCTTTTCTGTTCTATACTACTCTCTCTCTCTCTCTCTCTATATATATATATATCCTAATAAACTGAACTCACTTCCACTAACTACACACAAAACTTACATATAAACAACTGAAATTTTGCGCTGATTTACGTGCCGTTTGAAGACAGCGATACAAAAGACAGCGGTAACTCACTGAGTGATGTGAGTTCTTTGGATGATCAGTTTGCTAGAATGTAATTTGAATCATCAAGCTTCGAGAAACAAGCTACGGATGATGATGTGGATTCACAAGTCTGGGGCAAAATAGAATCGGACTTGGATGCTGAATTTTCAAAGGATTATAGAATGGTGGAAGAAGTATCGGCAAATTCGGAGGATAGTACAATCAATCCTAGTGATTTCTATCGATATTTCATCATTGATGAGATTATTAGTCTCATCGTTCGTGAAACTAATCGATATGCAGAATAACACGTAGAAATCCAGAAGCTTACCAAACGATTGAACACTCTTCAATGGAAATCAACTACTAATGAAGAAATGATCAAATTTTTGAGAATTATTATTGAAACTGGATTAGTGCAAATGCCAGAAATAGATTACTACTGGAGCAAAAGCAAGTTGTTTGGATCTGAAGTCATTCAAAATACAATGCCGAAAGACAGATTTGAATTACTNTCCTCGTTCATGAAGTCTGGAAACGTGGTCCGCCCCTCCCCCGCCCCTTTCAATTTTGCTCTTGTTTTTGTTAGGAACACAATCTCCCCCCCCCCCCCCCCCCCCCCCGGGCTTGATAGCGATCGGTAGTTTTCATGATACATGGGAGATCTCGAAAGCTACCCCCCCCCCTTAGTGGAGGTCGATAGGTTCCATGAAACACGCAAGAAGCTCAAAGCAGCGGGGTATCTTTTTACGGCGATGATCAAGGAGGGGGGGGGGTAGCTTTGAAGATCTTGCGTGTTTCATGGAACCTATCGACCTCCACTAAAGGGGGGGGGTAGCTTTCGAGATCTTCCATGTTTCATGAAAACTACCGATCGCTATCAAGCCCGGGAGGGGGAGGGGGGGCGCAACTCTATTTTCATCACCAAAAAACCCGAAATTTTAAAAAGCAGGGGGGGCGTAAACTCCTTTTTTCCCACTAATTTTCAGAAGCAGGGGGGGCGTTACGCCCCACGCGCCCCCCCGTAGTTACGCCCCTGGAAATGAACAAGAACGCATAGATAAGATCACTTATATGGTAAAATTAATATTAGATGTTTAAAAAATTGTTTTTTGCAAATAAAAGAGCTAATTTGCTAGAAAGTGTGTATGTTCTCAGAGGACTTTTTATAATACGAATTGCTAATGTTTATTAATGATACATTTGATAGGAAGGAAATGACTTTTATTTTAATCCTTTCGATGATAGGTCTTCTACTTATTAGATTGTGTAGAAATATTAGTATACGTTAACTGTTATCGGTTAAGTTAATAAAGCTATTTTTCTCAAAGAACAAGGATGGTGTTTTCTTCATCTAGATGCCTTAAAACAAATAGTACATCACTTTCTCTTCTTTTTTAAATGAAGATTCCATATTTTTCACAACAAATACTGCCCCTGTTAGCTTCTGGGCTAATTAATTCAATATAAGCCTGTGTACAATAAATATAATGCCATTACATACCGACGGTGATTACTCGAATTTGATCAATTGTAAGTATAGGAAAATTGATAATGTTTGAGGCATCATTGGTTGTCCAATGTAGAATTTCATTGTTAAGGCGTGTACGAAGTAAATTTGGTTCATGAAGACACGCTAACATCTCAGCAGCAATTTGATCATCATTTGAAAATGAAGATATAGCAGCAGCACGATAAGCATTAATAAGAGCACAAGCAATCTGTAAATAATCACGTACTTGCGGAATTGTTGAGTTTTGAATTGTCTGGCTGAACCATCTAAAATGTTTCACCCGACCATTAGCCGATTCGACAACCCAACGAATCTTGCTGATAAAGCGTGATCGATTTGCTTCAAGTGCATCAAATCGACGGCGACCATTTAGAAAGTCTGGCATGCATACATCAAGCCCTAAGGCTCGCATCATCCCTGTACTATCCCGGAAACCGCGATCGACGACGACAATGTCATGTTCATCAATCCAATTTAAAATACCATCTTTATTGTTAACCAATATATCTTTCTGGATAGATGCATCATTATTTGACGAATCAGATAAGTAAGGACCATAAGCTGCTAAGATATAACCTGTGGTAGTAGTAATTAACATCGGCTTCACGAGAGATCGACGCTTGTGCATATTATATGTTCGCCGTTGCAATTCATTGTTCCGACTCTTCTAAAAATGCAGGAAAGATATTAATGATTTAGAGCTGAGATTTTCATGCTACTTCGGTCGAGTACTCAAAAGTTTGACACCAAAACGAAGGTAAGAGAAATATCTTTTGGCAAAATATTCACTTATTGTCTCTCTTAATACATTTTGTACTTTCTAGAGAGGCATATACTTTTCAGCGAGTTACATAGATAGCGTGCTCAACTTGAAACTATTAATTTGATTAGTATATAAAAGATCATAAAACATTAAATCGATCTTTTAATATAATCTTTACGTTACACGAGGCTTTTTTAAAATTTTGCTTACAATGACGAATCATACACATTAAGAACTAATAGACTCGCTTTGAATATTTTCAATAAAACTATTTAGGTGTAAGTCATAAAATATTGAATATATTACGAACCTGTACATACAAGTAGGTACCATCGACTACGAGAATAGCTGTATCTGGTTGGTGCGTTAACAATCGAGTAGCAAGTGTAGAAGAGTGATTATAGATGACATCTTGACGAGAAATATGATTAAAACCAAGGTAATAAGGCACGAAATTGGATATCATAACTTCACGTACAGCAACCAGAGTTCGCGAAACAGCCTTGGCATTTGAATATTGAAAAATGGTGGTGAGAACTTTATTGCTGATACCTAATCTCAGTTTTGTTAAAAACAAACCAACAGCATTTCGAAGTGATCGATTCGATGAATGTTTAATTTTGGAATCGGTGAGGAACTCGATCAAATGTTCAAAGTTCAATTTTGATATTCCGGTTAAGTTATAACAATCAAAATCTGACATTATGAATGGAATATCGAAATCGAAGTGCTGAGTGGAGTTATAGTAATCTCGAAATTTACCAAACCATGTAATAACATCGGTGGAAGAGAAATTTGTTTGTGCAATTTTAAACGGACGAATTTCATTTAAAGCATCAATACGCAAACGCTCTTTATAAACATGGTCTTCACAACATCGACTACCTTGTGGTATAAAAATATTACTCTTGATAAATAAAAGCTCTCGATCTTCTTCAGAGATCGTACATAATGAGGATTTTAAAAATTTTCGACAAACTGAACATTGTCTACAAAGGAAAATACTCGATGTTAATAATTTATTTTCATTTAAAACATACTGATGAGATGAAAGGGCCACATTCAACAGTAATGTGACAATATTGGTATTCATTGGAACATCCAATGGGGTTTCTAATATTGATTCAATATTCCCATCATCATTCTGAAAAGAAATAATGGGGATAAACAATCATACATATGCTCTTAGCAAATCTTACTTCATTGTCACTGTCGACAATCATTTGATTTGATTCTTGTTCAACACGATTCAATATGTGAGCGAATTCAGCATTATTACGCCAATTCCGATAACACATACGACAAGCATTACAAATTGATCCTGAGCTTGGTAAAGTCATATTTCTTCGTGCCGAGACAAAAAGACGCATTGCAATACCATGAAATGGACGCCGATTCTTCGGCTCTATACGAGCATCACAACAAACACACTCGACAGGCATTTTCACATAAATGATGCAATGTTAGATGAGTGAAAATTTTTTTTTTCTTTTTATCTCTCTCTCTCTATGTCAGGGTTTTACTTATTATCCGTTACTTCTGCCCACGCTTTATGCGTAAGCCGAAAGATAATTAGTAAAGTCCTTGGTCTGTAAAGAACTTGAGATCTCACTTAAAATAATTTCCTACCTTAACCTTGATAATTAATTATAATGTCGGAATCGAGGAATAAGATTATTGTTCATAAAGTTTTTATCTGGAATATGCATAATGTAAGATGACACTGAAGATAACAAAAACAAGACTGATCATAAATGAAAACAAAATCAACTGCACTGGAAATGGGGGAAAACAAGCATATATATATATAGAGGGGGAGAGAGAAAGAGGAACGATAACCATAGATTTCATGAAAGAGGAAGTGAAAGAGCAATCGATGGACAAAGGACAATGAACATAAAATGTTAGCGTCAACATAGTGTCATCTGTTCATGCTAACACACTCTCTTTCTCTAGAACAGCGAATTTCACACATGGTAATTGTTTACTTATCGATATCACGCGAGCAATTATTTCGATTAAAACCAACCCCCTACATTGTTCAGTCATTCCGATGAAACTTTAAACAATTGGCGCATTCAATCCCTCATGCAACTCGCAAGCAGAATCTCAAAATATTTTATAATAATTTCTGATGTCCATACAAATGGGCTACAAGACAACGTGCATTTCTGTGTCGCATTTCAACGTCTCCCATTCTGGTACACACTAAACAAACCAGGTTCTCTGAGACCATTAGTGCTTCACTTAACTCAATTCAACTAAGCGATCATCGATTCAACAACATATCTGTCAACATCACTTTTTTCCCACACACGATTATCACTTACAAAAAATGTTATCCTTCAAAGTGTATTGATATAGTCACATTCAAATTCACACGGCCCATTGGTCAACCCAGTTACTCAATCCCTGCACAAAGTAGTATGAGTCATAATCAGCCTACGACACAAACCAGTACACTCTCATGATAATTTACCACATCCTGCTCTACACAGTGAACATCTGCATACTTCTCTTAGCTATTGATTTACCGTTTGGGACGGTCTGAAAATTCCTATAGCTCCTAAAAAAATATTTTCAAGCCTGCCTCCAATACTGTAGGACAAAGGTACTCAATGTTCCATCTATGATGATTTTTGCTCCAAATTTAAATCCCACGTACCTCATGGTGATACCACGGCAGCTTTTTTTGAGTCTCATGTCCTTGCAATATTGTAGTCTCTACTGATTACTAGTCACCCTAGAAAAATCACTCTGGGTCTGAATTAAATAGCGGAGAACGAAGTTGCACAAGGTTACCTCTATAGGGCTTTTCCCAATATTTTGGGAACTATGTACTTCATAGTGATACCATGGCAGCTTTTTTTGAGTCTCATGTCCTTGCAATATTGTAGTCTCTACTGATTACTAGTGACCCTAGAAAAATCACTCTGGGTCTGAATCAAATAGCGGAGAACGAAAGTCCACAAGGTTACCTCTATGGGGCTTTTCCCAATATTTTGGGAACTATGTACTTCATGGTGATACCACGGCAGGTTTTTCTGAGTCTCATGTCCTTGCAATATTGTAGTCTCTACTGATTACTAGTGACCCTAGAAAAATCACTCTGGGTCTGAATCAAATAGCGGAGAACGAAGGTCCACAAGGTTACCCCTATAGGCCATTTCTACGTATATTAGGGTCTATGTTCTTCATGGATTGAAGTAAAGGAAAAGTTCAACGGATCAGGCTGAAATTTTCAGCAATGACTACTAACATGTAGTTGAGCATTTGCTGAAAGTTTCAGGCAATTCTACCTTCACTTTCTAATTGGGCCGAAATGCACCTAAAACGTCCCCCGTCCTTTTATAATCAAGACGATATTAGTTATCAGTTGGCTGGTAAACGTGATTGTATTACATTTAAACATAATGATGGTACTTCAACAACATTACAAAAAAGAATTCTGTTATATAGAGTTCGTGAAACATTTTAATTATTTTTAACTAAGTATGTGGATACAAATATTAATTTGTCATTAACTTCATTTAATGATTTAAGACCAATGAACAGATTAGTACAATCTTATACGCCTGAGCGTAGTTGTTTATGCATGTACCATGAAAATATGAATTTATTATTAAAACCATTATCAAAATATATTCGTTGTCCTGGTTTACATTCACTTCAATAATTTTCGGCAATGCTTGTTTGCAATGAAGAAGCAGAAAATTGTATGTTTAGCCGTTGTGTATCTTGTGAAAATAATTTTAATAATAAAATCTTAAATATTGTTAATGATCCAAAACAACAAATTCAATGGTTTCAATGGATATATCAGGATGGAAAAACCAAAAAAGTTGAATTTAATGATACTATTGAACAATGTTTAGCAGTTTTGAAAGAAAAACTTGGACCATTCTGGGTTCATGTTTTCACTAAACGGAAGCAAGCTGCTTTTTTTTCAAAAAAATGAAAACTATTTCAAATGAAGAACTTATTTGTTTACAAGTTGACTTTAGTGAAAACTTTCGATTAGGAAATCAAGATGCTGTTTCATTATTTACATCACACATTTGGTATTCAGGTGGTGGTCAATCATTCTGTTTGTGGTTCAAATCATTTGACACATGATAAATATTGCATTAGTGCATCACTTGATAATTTATTTAGTCAATTGAAACAACAATTTCAACATTTAAAAGAAATTCATGTTTTTTCTGATGGAGCCATCCAACATTTTAAATAGAAATTTTTAATTCGAAACTTATGCCGTCTATCAGAACAATATCAGGTATGTATTTTAATTATATTCTTTATCAATATTTAGTAATAATCTACTTGGAACTTGTTTAGGTAGAGTTAAATTAGCATTGCTTTGCCACCTTCCACGGCAGGGAAGTGGTGGATGCCGTGGGATGAACAGTAAAACGGTTAGTCTATCGATCAATTTTATCTGGGCAACAGTGCACATCAACAACCGAGTTCATAAAAATCCCTCAATCAAAAACAACTACAATTGAGATTGTTGAATTAACACAAGATCATATAGATGAATTAAAAATACATATGGAACCAATATTTCAATTAAATAAACCTGTACCAGAAACAGAAAAGATTCATTCTATTAAGCACTTCAAAATAATTCAATTGAACATCGATATTATTCAAGTAGCGCAACGAAAAAAATCTATCGATTCCAAATTAAAAGAAAGAATTATGTAGAGTATTTGTTTTTCATTTGATTAAATTATGGTTTCATTTCATCTAAACAGTATTTTACAAACATTTATATTAAAAACGGATATTTTTGTATAAGTAAAGCAATTAGTTTGTGTTTTACATTTCTATCTTGTGTTAATTATTATTTATGCAATGTCTTATTTAGATGATAAAAAACTTTCTTTTTTTATTATATATATATATATTACTTGCTATATTACGTAATCTCATGTTTTGTTTAATGATTTCTGTATTGAACCTAAGAATAAGCATCATTTTTAATGCATCTTTGTGATAAATACTGAAAAAGTTAATATATTATCTTCATTCAGTTATACACATAGCAAAGAAAAATCCAGAAAAAACTTCATTACGAAACTGAGCGTCATCGCGTTACATTAATCAAACCGATTTCTATTCAAAATAAGAAGCCTGTTCGAAGAACTTATTTCTCCATTGGATACCTCAAACTGTTGGCTACAAAACGTCCATAGAACGTTTCTTTGAATATACCATATATTCACAGAGAAATAAAGAACGATCAGGTGATCCTCAACTTCTTGTCCTTTTTTCGCCATCGTGTTACGCCATGTATTTTTACTATAATTTTCAAACACCTCGCTCAAATGAGCTCATATTTTCAGGGATTTTGCAGAGGACAGAGATACATCTTGCAACGAAAGAACAAACCTTCTGAGCAATATGATTGCTGAGAAAAGTCACTAGAAGTGTAATCAAAACGTCATCGCGTTACGCTCCTACAAGTTGATATATAGCTGTTCAGTATCTGTGCCGGAGTCAAAGGAACGGCGGGTAGGGATGGGTGGTTGGCCTTTGCGTTTAGACTTTGGCACAGATACACAGACACTCACCGTGCAATAACTTCTTTGACCTTTGACCCAGGCACAGATACGGAACATTTATATATATATACAGTAAAACCTCTGATACTGAACAACCCTTCTTTATGAACAACCTGTTATACTGAACACCCTCCGGTCCCCCCGAGCGATTTTTGCTGGTTTTGACCCTCTCCTTAGTGAACCCCTCGCGATTCTGAATGTGAACACTTTTTTGTGGCCCCGACTGTATAATTTGCCCTCTGTAATGTGAATGTTATCGAGAGCGCCGTTAAACTTTGAATTAACACGATGTATTTCATTGGCTAGTTTTGTGATTGGCTTAGAGAGAAACAGAGAAACAGAAAAAAAAATTTCAATCTCGTCGATACACAATTGAATTACTTGTTGTATGTTTGTATGTTAATGTTAAATTATTAAATATGACAACTCGTCGTGAACTTTGTTTAGAAGAAAAAATAAATCTTATAAAAGAGAAAGAAAATGGACTTTCTTATCGACAATTAAGTGATAAATTTCAAATTTTAGTTGGAGCTGTTTCAAATATTTCAAAGAGAAAATTAGAATATACAGATGATTACGAATTGAACAGAAATAAAAAATTCAAAAGAAAATTCAAAAATGAACTTAATCAAGATATCAACTCACGTCTATGAATGGTTCATCTTACAGAGATCAAAGAATATTCCCATACCTGGTCCAATACTTCAACAATATGCTCGAGATATCGCTCAAAAGCTGGACGAGTCTACCAATTTTCGTGCAAGTAATGGCTGGCTTGATCGCTTCCGCACAAGATACAACATCCATTTTCGTACAATTTGTGGAGAAGCTCGAGCTGTTGATCCAAGTACAATCGATGGCTGGAAGGTTCGTTTACACTCAATTATTGAACATTATGATGCTTGTAATATTTTTAACTGTGACGAGACATCATTGTTTTATAAATTAATGCCTGATCGATCGTTAGTTATTAATAGAAATGATTGTCGTGGTGGGAAAAGATCAAAAGATCGTTATACGGTTATGTTGTGTTCCAACATGCTTGGAACTGAGAAACTAAAACCTGTTGTAATTGGTAAGTTAATTTCTATTTAGTTTTATTTTACGATAAGTTTTTTCCCATTCACATTATAGGAAAGTATGCTAAACCACGGTGCTTCAAAAATATTGATATAAAAAAATTACCAGTTCAATGGTTTAGCAATCGAACTGCGTGGATGAATTCAAAGATCTTTACAGAATAGTTGGAAGATCTCGATCTGTCTATGCGAAAACAAAAACGACATATCTTAATGTTTCTTGATAATGCACCAGTTCATCCACAAGATATTCAATTAGAAAATATTAAATTAAAATTCTTTCCGGCAAATACCACAGCCATTATACAACCCATGGATTAAGCCATTATTAGAACATTTAAAGCTTATTATCGACGTTATTTGGTGAAACATATTATTGCTAATGCAACTATTGCAACGGCAGCTGATGATATTAATGTAACAGCTTTAGATGCTGTACACTGGATCGATTCTGCCTGGAGTGCAGTAACCGAAGCGAGTATTAGGAATACATTTAGATCAGTTGGTTTTGAAAAACTTTCTATGATTGATGGGGTTGATGTGTTTCCAGTTAATTTAGGTACCAATGGAGATATGTCAATGGATAATAAAGCCATTAAGGAACTCCATCGGAAACGGCCTGAAACGGCTATTAAACGACATACAACGGCATTAATTGTTACCCTATTTCGCCGTAATCCGTCAGCTCGTTTTACGGGCCGTTATTTTTGCTAGAAAACGGCCATCGCTTTTAACACTATTCTCTTCGTTTTCCGAGCTGACGGAAAACGGCGCCGTTTGTTAACGTTTCACATCGTTTTTATGTCGTTTCAGGCCGTTTACGGGCCGTTTTCTTCCACATGGGTGGTGGAAAATTCATTTCAGCCTATGATTACGTTGTACGATCAGAAACTAAGTTTTTGATTGCATATTCTGACATTTTTCTTTTGTCTATTTTAGATCATTGATGATCAAATACCATCATTCAACGAATGGGATGATTCAGCTGATAGAATTCTATCAATTAATGGAGTTACGAATGATGATGCAGAAAATATGGAAGAATTACCAGGTGAAGATCCACCATCACTGGCTGAGTCTTTAGAATTAGTTCGTCGTCTTCGACTTTTATCAACAACACAATAGCCAGAACTTCATCCATTTATTACTCAATTACAATCAAAACTGACTGATGTTTTTCTCGATTCCAATTCATCAAAACAAAGACCCATCTTGGAATATTTTAAATATGCGCTTGATCCATCTACTTTAAATTTTTGTACTTAAAATTTTTTTTCTCATATTGTATATGGACTGAACAAATTTAAGGAATAAAAATCTGTTGATCAATAGTAAAAGATTAAAATATGCGATTTAAATTAAAAAAAACGTTTTCTTTGCATAAATCCCCTCCTATCTGATCACCCCGTCAATATGAACGATTTATGAAAGTCCCACTGGTGTTCAGAATAGAGGGGTTTTACTGTACTATATATTGGGGGTACTCTGGGGTCATCATATACTATATATTGGAGGTACCCTTGGGTCCTTATATACTATATATTGGAGGTACCCTCGGGACATCATATACCATATATTGGAGGTACCCTTGGGTCATCAACTACTATATGATGGGAGTACGCTTACGACACCAGCTACTCTATAACGGAGCCAGCACAACAATTCATGCAGTATATTATACTAGTATTCCTATGTTATTGTAGGGTATATAACGGTATTACTCAATCGCTTTCATCAAGTATATAATTTTGTTGTCGATAATTCTTTATAGACTTGAGACCGAGATACCGAAAACAGTGTTTAGACAACATAAGGAAGTGTGGAGAGCTCGTCAGCTTCTATGGAACGGATGGAGCAATCTGTCTCGTACTGTTATCCGGTAGTAGTCTGTGTCTGTGCTTGTGACGTGTGACGTGTGAAGTGTTTCTTTTTATCGCGTTTGCTAGGTATTTCGGAGTGTTGACTTTATGCCGGTAACAGCTCTAAGGAGATACATTATATGACTCTTGAAGACCCATCATTTGATTTTTTGTAGTTTGTATGTGGCTTTAACAGATGTGGGAGCCAGCATTCTTCACCAGTAGAGGTAGTTGTTGCTATTATTGTCGTTTCATACCTTACCTTCATGGCTATCTGGAGCTGATCTACATCTTTTTCGTTTTGGGTCCCCGAATTGTGGCACGGCGTTTGGTCTTAGCAATTGTTAGCAGTCATCTACTGTTTATCGTGCGATTGGGTATCAACATGGTATCGTCTGATGTTAGTGACTCTATTCTTAATCTTTCCCTTTTGTTGAGAACCATTTCCAGATTCTTTTACGATCCAGAACCGCAAGGATGTCGTGAAGTTTTTCACAGGATTCTGCCTTAACTCCTGATAACTCTTGTTACTGCTTAGGAATATTTTCGTTAGAAAGGCTCCTAATAGAATTTCGTGAGATTCCTGCCCAGACCTTTTTCGTAGTGGTTCAAACGTGATGCGTTCAGGATTCGGTACTGATTCTTCTAATAGCCATTAGAAGAGTAAGAACGGCAATTTTCTCCAGAGTTTTGTCAAGTTTTCGTGAGATATAGGATAGGATCTTCATACAAGGATCCACTCTACTTCTTACATAAGCCAAAAAGGACTATTTACCCTTAAAAGCTGAAAGGTCTTATCGTCACAAATTTAAAAAATTTCCCACTAAAATAGAAGTTCCGAAACCTCAATAAAAATAATTAATAGTAAAGAAAACAAAATTCTTTTTTCTTATGGAGATATAGAATGTCCCTTGGAAGGGACATCCGCCTTTTGAGGGTTAACGTAAGAGTTTTTGTCGCGGCAAAGGCTTTTGGTTGACATAAGATTATCTTCTGTTCATGTGCACTCTAGGTTTGCTCCAAGATTACTGGCGCTGAAATAGCCATAATCTGTCTAGGATTCTGATAGAATCATGGCTCTAGCCCTTTGGGATCCTGAAATTTCGTAATTACACACTTTTTACGACACTCGCGGGTTCGTGGCAAAATACTAGCTGAAATTTAATGGCGCTCTTGTCAGAATCTTAGAGTATCTTGGATCGAATCATATCAGAATTATCAGATTTCGTAGCTGCAACCTTTTTTCACAGATGAGTGACGTTATCAGGAAAAATGTACGAATCTGGAGAGGGTCTTTGATTAATATGAGAAATATTGAAAGAACAAAGGGACGAAACGTCGAAAGAGAAAAATATCTTTGAAGAAAAGTTTGGAAAAATTATAGGCATATGAAAACAATCGCTAAATGTTTTAAAGAATTCTGAATATCAAAGAACATATTTTATGACACAAATCGGTATTAACATTGTGACAGAAATCAAATATAGGAGATTAGTAACATCAATAATATCTCGCTTTTTCATTTAACACCTGCAAATGAGAAACCATCTAACTGTTCTACAGCATTCATAACACCAATATAGTATCATTCACCAAGACTATCTATATGATGTTCAATAGCAATTCTTTCCGTTTGTTTTAGTCTTTCTGCTAAATTTTTATAAAAACCGAAAACCCATTAACTGTACATATTCAATATTTAGCGGTAGGGGTTATTTTATTCAATCTAGACAAATCTATTCATCTTCTATCCGTGAATATTTCGCTTTATGTGAACTAATCTATAAAATAGCTAGAGATTTTTATGAAGCTACAACTGTTCAAGATGAAACAACTTCACCTATAACAATAGAATTTCAGCTATATGATATTTCTCCATGCAATTCTTCTAAGACGTTTATATCAACTAATTCTCATTTCTATTACTACTAGATAAAAACCTACTTTATAAGAATTATAAAACAATAACAATGAACTGCAAGTGATTAGAGTGGCCATTTTCAGGACACGCCATTTCTTCCGATATTTTTTGTGTTCACTATTTGCATTTCGACATTTTTCCATCACACTGAATCCCTACTGCTTCTCTAACGGACTCAGAATAGAAACATTCCAGATTCAGTGGCGGATTTGAGGGGAAAGCAGAGGAGCGATCGGCCCTAGTCCCAAAAAAAGTTAGGTTTATCCCAGCATAAAACTTTTAACAATAAGTTGATATTACGTTCTATGATCATCAGCGCTCCTAGTCTCCTCCACTGAAGTGCTCCTAGCCACAACGAAACGCCCCACAATACAAAAATTCTAGTGTTGCTACTGTCAAGATTATTACTAGAGAGACAAAAAAAGAACAAATCGATGTATACATATCTGTGCTACCAGAGCATACACGATCGCGCTATTTAAGCAAGCACAGATACAGGGCACGGATCACGTCTACGGAGGATACAGGGATTCTTTGAAAGGCGTCATTCTCATATATAAAACAAAGAACGTAACACAAATGAAATCATAAAATTCTAAAACGGCGATCGATGGAGAAAGTGTGGAGAGTGGTCTCAATCAATATAAAAGATTACCGTAATGCTATTAAACCATAAGTGAAGAGAACATGTACTCAACGAACGCACACACGTTCCATACACGAAAATTACATGCAAACATCAGCGTGCTTCCCTTAACCAGTTACTTCCTCTCCGAAAGCTCTGAAGAAATATGAGAAACAATCTCTACATTTCATAGGAAAAGTTAAGTAAACTATCTCTACACAGTTCGTGGTGAACTACCAAAAGGTCACTTTTGTAGTTGATACACAAAAATGAGTACCAGCATCCGATACTATATGACCATTTATGCGCATCTCTACGATAAACGTCACGAATAGTAATGAATGCCCACTTTTTATAGCGCTCGAAAGTTAATGAATTTTTCCATTATATAATACCAGATGATCGATAGGTACCCTGTTATACAGTAGTTCGTGAACTATTGAGACCCACCCCATTACATAGAAGTTCATGGCGTATGTACAGCACCCCTATATCCCGGTGAATGACCTTTAAAACCACTCTTTACATAGTAGTTGATTATCCAAGGGTACCCTTATTATATAGTATATGATGACCCAATGATGCCTCCAATTTATAGTAAATGATGGCCTAAGGGTGCCCCCGATACATGGCATATAATGACCCAAAGGTATCCCCAATATATGGTATATGATGACCCAAGGGTACCCCTAATATACAGTATATGATGACCCAAGGGTACTCCCAATATACAGTAGTTGATGACTCAAAGGTAGTCCCAATATATAGTTGATGATTACTTACGGATGCACTCGTTTCATAGTGCATGAAGAGTTATGGGTGCTTAAATGTTTATTTATTTTTATCAATTTTTAAGAAAAATTTTGTTTTATAGGAAAAGGTTTACTTTAACTTTTAAAGTTTAAAGCCATACTTTAAACTTTAACTTTAAAGTAAAGTTAAAGTGCCACCCCTACTCTTAACCTCTCCCTCTTCCATTTATTCAATTTTAAGGTAATGTTTCTCAAGCTTCCGTCGCTCTTAATGACCGTGTGATTATCGAATAGCTTCGGTGAGTGTTCAGTAACTAGGTCATCAATTGTTGGACTTTTTTTGTGAATTGCTTGTGATTGTGGCGTAAGATCATCTGGTTGATACGCGAACCGAGTTATTTTGAGCTGTCCATGCAAATGCTGATTTTCTGTGCTTCTTGGCTTGTTAGAGCTTTTACATTTAGCTTTGCCGAGCCATTCAAGGAGTATAGCTGACTTCGTTTTGTTTTGTATCCCAATTGTTTCATAATAGTTTCGCGCTGGAAAAGACAAGATCGCTACATTTGAAGCGAATCATAACGGAAACGTAGACAATGTCGTTTGGAGTTGGTGGAAAGCTCTACCGTGTTTTCGTGTTCGAAACATCTCAAGAGAGTTGTAATTGATGGGAATGGCATTATAATTAAGTTTCAATTCAGCCAAAAACTGATTCATTTGTAGTTGGAGACAGTATTTTGTTATCTAAATGCATTTAATTGGGGAGGATTTAAATGCCTTCTTGGCTTACACCACTGTAGATCCCTATATGGCTTGTTCAAGCGTAACGCCATAACATTTTCGCCACTATTTCATTAACTTTACTCTGAAATCAGATTGCTCAGAAGGTACATTCTTCCGTTGGAAGAAGTGTCTTTGCCTATTCCAAAACCTCTGAACTTATGAGTTTGTTTGAATTAGCCGTTTGAAAA